GGAAAATTTAGAAGATACAGATAAGGTAAAGAACTATTAATAATAAGATTACCTGTCATCCTATTACTGGTGAACCAATAAAATTTGCCTTTTCCCTTTTATAGGATATGCCTCTGTATAGCTTGTATATAGTTGCTTATTATGTTTAAAATACTGATTATTTGAAAATTTGTAGGTATTAAAATACCTACAAATTTCATTTTATTTAAAAAGCATTATTCATCTTGGGCTGAACACCCAATATTTCAGAATAGATTGGGAATACAGCAACTGTTAATTTAGCATGAAACATTGTAATTGCTACAGCTTAATTGTTTGTGTTAAATGGAAGGTAGTAATAAACCCTCAGTAGTCTCAAATGTATCAGTGACAGGACATTATCTGTAATATATTTGCATAGGTGGAACCAGTAATTTGTTTTCCTCATGCTTCATGTACTTAAAATCTATTTAATCTATGTTTTTAAACTGTCAATCTTTATACTCATTTTTAAAGCCTAATTATATCTTAAAAAAGGATACTCAGGTATCACTTTAAAATTATAACCGTTCAATGTCAGCAATGTGACAGATTGATGGGTGTTTGGATGCAGACATGATCATGGTACCATTTGCGAGGATTAGCATAATTGTGCTCACTTTACGTGGTTAAGTAGCACTTATATGGTGCTTACTGTCTGCTAGTAACTGTTAAATAACTTGTTTAATCCTCATAATAAGCCTATAAAGTAGGTAATATTTTATCAATGAGGAAGCCAAAGCACAAAGAGGATAAGATTGCTGTCAGGGCAAAGAGAATTTGAAGGGAAGCAGACGGGCTTCAGTGTTTTGTGCTGAACCACTACACTCTGCTGCCTCTCCTGAAAGTTCTGACAGTAACTAACATTTGTAATGTGTACTATGTGCCTGACCCTTCTATGTGCTATAGTCATTCAATTTGTGGTAATAAGCCACCCACCAGGAGTTGAGACGTCTGAATTCTACTTTCAATTTTGGCAATGAATTCATAGTGTTACTTAGAGTACCTCATTGTATCACTCTGGGACTCAAGCTAATGAGTTGGCTAGATTAAATGATTTATCTCTAAAGTCTCTTCTAGCACTGAAGTTTTAGAATTTGCAGACTATTTGAAAAGTCTTTAACATTTTTTATGTTTCTAATTTTAAAATTGAGTATGCAGTCCAGATTTTTCATCTCCTACACTCTCATTCTTAAAAAAGATACTTGATTTTCTTACTTACATTTTATATTTGACAGAGAGATGTAGTCTTCTTAGATTCAGATGTCATTATAAAGATATAAAGCCCTTTTGACAAAAACAAGAACAAACAAAAAACCCAAAAACCCAAAACCCAAAACCAAAAATCAAAACAAAATCAAACAACAAAAAGTAAACAAAAACAAATATTTTTACCTTCAATCATAAAGAAACTTTAAATTTAGGAATTAGCAGTTAGTTCAAGATGCCCAAAATCTTTTCGATGATTGTTATCTACATATAGACTTTTATGGTGACAGTTATGCAAATTTGTTCTAATTTACATAAGCAAAGGGATTTTTGTAAGTACCTGCATATGATATTGCTATATACGTATGCAAATAATGTTAACTTTAACCCAGTCCCAACTGATAAACAATCGTCCACTTTTAGACACATAATCTTGGGAAGATGATAAAGGCAGGGTAAGAAAGGTAAGATATTCAACTCCAAGCCAGTGAAGTGATAAAACATACAATACTTTTGTTGTAATCATAGTGACTAATTCACTCCTCTTTAGACTCCTTTTGCTTCTCAGTCCATCATGATATAGTGACTTAGAACCATTCTTTATTTTACAGATTGCACCAGAGACATCAATCAAATTTTGATCACACCTCAACTCTCTTCTAGAATGAAACACATTAAACAAGCAATGGCCAAAAATCACCTCCAGTTTGTGCGATTTGAAGCAACAGATCTCCATGGTGTGTCCAGGTCTAAGAGTATCCCTGCACATTTTTTTCAAGTGAGTTTTACAGTTGTGATTGAATGTAATTTCATGACCGTTAGCAAGCAAATGGTTCTTATTACTCTTTCTTATTTTCTTGTAATCTATACAGTAATTCAAGCTGAAAATCAATAATTTATTTTGTTTCCTCCCTTGTTCCTCCCCAAACACATAATTGCTCCCCAAGGAGCTGAACATGTACTCTCAGTTTTCAAACATCAATTCCTTTATCCAACAGAAATACAAAACTAATTAAGACTGGTAATTTTAGTTCTTCTGCCTTGAATAGTTTCCCTCCATAGAATTATCTTTTCTTTCTTATTGCAATTATGAAGATTATATTTTATTTGACATGAGAAAATTGTAACAGAAGACCCAAGAGCAAATATGAAAGGGAAAATTATTAAATATAAAGAATTTGTTAGATGAAAAGCATACTTTCAGCAACTAATTCTGATAAGAAAATACCTCATTGTTGTTGGATGACTTAATGAATCTTATTAAATTCCTGAAAATGATGACATCAAGACACATTGTATTTTTGTTGTTTTGAGACATTTTTAGATTTTATTTGGTTGGTTTATGTCATGTGTTTATTTTGATGACTGATTTGTTGTGTTACTTAAACATCAAATTTCTTAGGAAG